ATAATAAATTAATTAACAAAATATTGTTTTCAAAGGTGCAATACTAACTTTGAAGAAATATTCTGTAAGGCTATTTGAGATCAGCAGCCATAAACATCTTTTTCTGAAGGTAGAGCCATTGTTTATCTGAATTCATCTCCTTTTGACCTCCCTTCCCCCAGTATTGTGATCTGCAGTGACAAATGTTTCCTAGTGTTCAAGTTGGAATTTGCATGTTCTGTTTCTTAAGTGTTCTTTTTCTGAAATGCAAGAGTATAGAGCAGAAATGCTTTCTTGTATACCACTGTGAGACTAGAAAGAATGAAATAAGAATTTCTTTTTTGTTGTTGGATTTTTTAAGGGTAGACAGGAAATAGTTTGGAAATTACAGAAGGATTTATAGAAGTTTCTTTCTCTCTGTGTGCCTTATTTATGAGAAAGGTGAACACAAGTCTTCAGAGCAATGATATCATCAAGGGACGGTTTGTTTCTTTTAGAGTAAAAATACAGCACTCAAAGAAGATGTTGAGAATAAAGGATCACCAGCTAATGATAACCTGAGAGGTAAAAAGTATAAGAGAAGATAAAGTTTGGAAAGTCAGCGAAGTGTTCAGAGTAGCTCAAAATTGTATGGTCACTAAGGGCCATAGTAGCAATTGAGGAACAGGGAGACCAGGCTTATGTGTGGCCGAAAAGAACAGAGATGTGTCCCAGCAGCACCAGAGGAAGGGAAATTCATCCTATTTCATTCCACATTTTCAGGGAGAGGAAACAAACATGACTTTGATCCAAGTTCTTATTGTACAAGTTGCCACTGCTTCTGTGGTCTTGGCATCTCTTTAAGATCCCGATGTTCGATCTCCATGCCCTAAAATTTACAAAAACCTTTGCTCTCTCTACTTCCTAGCCTTAATTTGAAAGCATTAAACATAATTGCACCAATTGGATGAGGCTTGTTTTCTGCAAGCCTAAAAGGAGACAATATTTTATAGGCAATTTCTGCTTTCTTCCTACCATAATCTCTCTTGGGTAACGAAACTTAACACCTGGACTCTTGCTTTCATCTGGAAATTAAAAAGAAAATGGAGGAAGCAGAAATTATGTCAAATATTATATTTTCCTAAAAACACTCCCCTTTCTCTGATTATCCACACAGGGTACCAGTTTTGTCCCAGCTATGACCTCTGACAAATACACTTTTTGTATCAACAGAGTAATGACACATTCTTGGTAAAAAAGAACAAAAAAAAAAAAGAAAAAGAAAAAGAAAAAGAAAAAAAAAGTATGTACCTCCAAAACCCCCTATCCTAAGATGACCCCTTGTTCTTATTCATTATCAAATCTTTTGACCTTCATTCTTTGAGAGCAAGGTTTTTCAAAAGCTTTTCAAAGGAAAACTTAGCTACAACTTCAAAATAGCAAGTATTTTTCAAACTGTTCCTGGTCTGGCTGCAGAAGAGACAAGTACCACCACCTCTCATGGCCAGCACTTCCTTGGCTCTGCTGCCATCCCCTGACCCTACCCATATACTCATGCTTATTAAAATCCCTAGATTAACACAACCAACCCATCCAGGTTTCCTTGGCCTTCCAAGGTTGCATCTTTTTCTGTCTCATGTCCTAGAAATCACTTCAGTTTCATAAATCTGCAATGGGTGCTCACTCAACCTTAAATACACTCCCAGATGGTTTTGAAAATTATCAGTCTAGAAAGAAGGTATTGCCCTTGTCAAAAATATAAGCCTTCCAATATGGGTCATACTTTACACCACTCCGAATCATTGAAAATTAATAGAAATCAGTTTTTCATAAGTTTTCCAAATGGCTGCAGGGGTGGGAGAAAGTGATTTGATGAGAAGGCTGAACAAAGACAACTGGTAACACGGCCTGCAGCTGTTTCAGAATCAAAGTCATTTTAGCCCAGTCCCCTGCAGGAATGCACTAGTTGAGTGCCACTGTGGTTCAAATGGTATCTGCAGCCATACCTCCCTCCCTGGAGAGAGGAGGTAGATGAGGAGCTAGGAAGAGAAGGTGGACAGCTGAGACAGGAGAAACCTGTACTCCCAATGTCTCCTCCTTCCTGGCTGTTTTGCTATGCTCCTATATTAGGAAGTGCATCATCTGGTCTTCAGGACGGACTAAAACGAAGACTCACATGAGTAGAGATCAAGCCAGAGACATAAACCTGATTGGAACAATGCTTTAGCAAACTAAGCAGCCATAGCAGAGCCTGCATAACTGACTTGCAAATGCTTTCAGGCACTGGACTCTGTGTACTGCAGCAGCTGGAACCGAGGTCCAACCAAAGAATGAGAGCCCAGCTGAGAAAGGGACTATTCAGAAACACCCAGACGATCCCTTTTGTTGGCAAAGCTGTCCAGTGTTCACGCAGCTTTAATGAAGCCCAGTTCTAATTAATCTGTGACCTTGTTGCAACCAACTGCTTCCCTGAGCCACAAATGTCTCTCCAGCTTTGGATGCCCTTTCCTCCAAGTAGACACTGAAGGACTGTTTCCTTATTAAGTTTAATTGAAAGATGACTGAACCACGGTCGTTCAGAAACAGGGAATTCCCCACCAATATAATGTGTAGAACAGATGGGTGGCTCCGAGGCACCAGAGACGCGATACAGCTTTTATAATTTACACTGATGAAAAGCTCGGTCTGGCCTGGAATGTTTCCAGAACCACCCATCAAATGTCAGATGCCCGATAGACAGAAAGTGGTACACTGTGCTTAGACTGAAGAACCTTGGGGTGGCAGCAATGGGACCTGGAACTGATGGAGAGTGACCATAAGGTTAAAAGGAAGCAGCAGTCAAAGGGCTAGAATTCATCTCCTGTCCTTTAAGCCAGGCTATCAGGTTAATGTGTGTACTACAAATGATCTACAAGTGTTTCTAGAGGTTGAGATCTTCGCTACTGGTTAGAGCTTGGAGGAACTGCAGATTGCAAGCCAATTACTCAGGTTGTGAGTAATTTTCCTTATTTCCCCAAGAAGCAATAGCGCTATAATCACTGTCATGTGTACCGTGTTGAACAATGTTTAAAATGTTCAAACACTCGGTGGGAAGCACCAATGCAAACCTATCACCTACAGAGCTGGCTGGGACTTTTCCTTCTTGCTTCAGTTGGCTTTAAGCAATGCAAATCAGTCTATCGAAGTGATAATGTGTAGTTTTTGAAGCAAGGTGATAGGTCATTCCCTGATCCATACCCCAGGCCCCAGGGGAATGCTTAAACTGGGCAGGAGGGAGAGCCATGCTCCTTGCTGTCCTATCACTGTCAGCTGGGACCAAGGCTTTAGAGAAGAGGCTATGAATTCCTAGGGCATGAAAAGTTACTCCAGACCTGAAGCAATGACCTCCAAATGTTAGTTACTACCTCAGATTATGCTATGTAGATCACTCCTTCTGCATATTGCAGAGGTGATTTCAGGCCTCCTACATATCCCAGCTCACAGCATTCATACACGTCCCACCACTCTCCAAGTCCCTCTTCCCTGAACCACTTTCCTCTTCAAGAGTTAATGAGACCTGGGCTCAGTCCTAGGTTGAAGCCTTTGTTCAGGTTAATCATCACCTTAGTTTAACTTAGGAGCCTTGACTCCCCCACAACTACAAATATGTCTTAGTGACTTTATTGTCACCATGAGTTGCACTGGCAGTGGTAAATTGGAATTAACTCACTAGAATTCCAATAACTTTCCTTTGGGGTCACACATATAAATTTCCCAATTTCCCAGACCACAACAAGGACCAGGAAGAACTCTCTACCATATGAAAAATGTGGGCTGTGGGGACAGCGAGATAGCTCAGCAGACTAAAGCACCTGCTTAGGCAAGCTTAGGCAAGCGCAGCGACTGCAGTTCAATCCCTGGTACCACATGCCATGCCAGCCATGCCCACAAGGCTGGCTGAGCTGTCCAGAGTCCAGGCATAGTGGCATATGCCTGTAATCCCAGTGCTGGGGAGGCTGAAAACAGGAAGATCACTACAAGTCTGAGCTAAGTAGTGAGAGACCCTGTAACACAAAATACATTTTAAAAAAAGAAAAGGTGGGCTGCTTTTTGGCTCACTGTATTAAAGCAGCTGTAAATGTCATTCTCCCTTCAACTTCTTATGAAAATATTTTCATAGCTTACTCTTATTTTTAAAGTAAAATGGAAGTCCTCATTAGAGTTTGCAAGATCTTTCAGAGTCCAAGTTCTTAGGGAAAGATGGAGTCGTATTTACTTGGGACAAGTTCTACTTTAACTGGAATAAGCAGAAGACAAATGAGCTGAAGTCTGTCCAGAAATGTAGAGAAATTCTGGGACGGAGTCAAAAACAACATCCCAACACATGTCAGTTTGCTACTCTGAAGACTTCCCTAATGCCATCATCCACATGGACCTCCAGTTCACCCCCGTCTTGCTGAGCACCAGGCACCAGACGCTGCCCACTTGCTGCTCCTGGAAGCCCCCAGCATGATCACAGTACACCCCAGAAAGTGGGTTCATCATGGTTTCTCCTCCCTCTTCTGCTCTCTTCTAAGGGAAATTGCATTGAGATAGGAACCAATGATTGTTGGTGTTTCAAACATGCCAGTGTCCTGGCTACCAGCGAGTTTGAGAAAAGGGTGTTCTAGTGTCAGGCTTAAGAAGATAGAGTGATCAAGGGTGGGGACACTAACAAACCTGGAAAATGCCCATTTTCTCTGCTACGTGAACTCCAGATTTCCAACCCAGCCCTGAATACTTCTCTCCTTTCTTCAAAACCCCATGATACCTCTTGGAATTATGCTCCCTAATGAGGGTCCTGTCCTAGTCCCTGGACTCTCAGAATATGTTGCCTACATGCCAAAAGGAACTCAGTAGATGGCATTCAATTGGGCCATGTTAGACAGGTTATCCTGGATTATTTCCATGGGTCCATTGTAGCCAAAAGACAAGTAGGAGAATCAGCACTCACAAAGGAGATAGCAAGAATAGATAACAACAGCAGAGACTAGAATTACAGACAGAAAAGGCCCTGAGCCAAGCAGCAAAGGCAGCCTGCAGAGCTGGAGTAAGAGCAGGCCCTCCACTGTGCCCTCCAGGAGTACCGCACTGGCAGTACCTTAAAGTTTAGGGACTCAACTTGCTGTAGGTCACACAGCAAGTCCACATCAGACTTCTTACCACCAGAGCCATAAGAAAGCTGCTAAATTTGTTTCACTCCACCACAATCACTACAGGAAAACATAACGTGCTGTTCCTGCTGCCAGCAGCACCTGCCTGAGCAGGCCTTGCTTCTTCCTGTGCCTGTTTAACTCGCCTTTAACTCGCCCCTAGATCAATTTCCCCACCATCCTCTCATAGCCCATGAGAGACTACTCCACGGCTCTCATAAAAGCTATATATCTATGAATGATTCCCAGAATCAAGTGGGTCCTTCTTTAGACCAATGAAATGATGTCAGGAATGCTACTTCCACTGCTGATTATGACCCATCTCACTCTTGCTTCTGGATGAACTAACATGTGCATCAAAATTGCTTTTTCTGGGATCTCTGGTCCATCAAAGTTTTTTTGTTTGTTTGTTTTGGTTTGGTTTTTTTTTTTTTTTTTTTTTTTTTT